ATTTACGGACTATTAGCTATTGTTGAATTGTTTAGGATGTACATGCGTATCGGGCCTCTGTTTGGACTGTAGTAGTATAGAACTTGCGCGTGGGCCTGACCCACTTTTATTTTTCAGATACACGACAGTTCCAGGCTTAGACGTGTTCGTGCTGAGCAGAGGTCTCTATTCACTCTTCCGACGATATAGGGCTCTCTCTATAGTTTTAATTCTTGACGTTTATTACAGTTGTTCTATCTTCCGTTTGGATGTTTAATAGGGGTCCACTAGAGATGGATTCCCAAGTTGTAAACTGGTGGAGTTTTGGAGTTTGGGTTTGATGGATTTTAATAATTATAATATGTTGTGGATTCTATTTTTAGTTCCTTCCAGCTTTAATTTCATTTCTTAATTTATTTTGTATTCCGTGTTCATTATAAAATATTAATTGTTAGATATTCCCTCGGGTTTGGGCCTGGGCCTGATCAACCCATGTCTCGGATCCGAGGGGTATCTCAGCTGCTACCTTCCTTCTTTCTTCATACAATATATATATATATATAGCACAAAACCAAATCAACTTCTTAAAAAAATCTCCTAGTGGGCCCCATCACATTATTACCCTTCTTATCTCTCTTCCCATTTTTGGCCGACCCACTCCATTCTACATCATTCTATTTTCTTCTCCACCTTTCTATCACTTTCTCCTTTAGGTACACTATATATATATATATATAAACTATATATAAAATAACAACAACTACACCTCCACTAAAACAAACTCAGAAATAAATTATAAATTAAAATCTAAAAAAAATCCGGGTTGTCATAACAACCCCCGTGCGTAACAATTTCGGTAGCATGTCCCACCTGGGACCTCCTAGTCCGAAAAATAGAAAAAAGAAAAAGAAATGGCTACCGATACATTTCCGAGAGTTCTGAACTCAAGGAAATGTTCCAACCAATTCTCAAACACACCCGGCATCCCACGATGTCCAACATACAAAACTAGAAAAAACGAAAATACCCTAAAAACAAATCAGAAAATTCCAGAAAATAAAAAATGGTAAAAATATGAAACATTACAAAATCACTATGAGACTTCTGGCTTAAGCATCCGCTACCACATTCGCCTTCTCGGGATGATACTGCAAATCGAAATTGTAATCTTTTATGAACTCAACCTAACGTCTCTGCCTCACATTCAAATCTTTTTGCATGAAAAGATATATGAAACTCTTATGATTTGAAAAGACCTCAAATCTCTCGCCATACAAATAATGCCTCTAATTTTTCAAAGCAAAGATAACTGTCGCCAACTCTAAGTCATGTGTGGAGTAGTTGTGCTCATTAATCTTCAACTATCTATAGAAATAAATGCCAACAATTCAGCTTCTAATGATGCATACACATTATAGGCATCTCTTTGAAAAGATGGGGAGTAGAATATTTTATGGAACACACTCGCAGTCTAATAATGGAGGTTTTAGACTCTTGCATATATACTTTTACAAAAGGATGCCAAAGTGTAATGTTTCCGATTTTTCTCTTTTTCCATTTTCTGGGATTTATTTTATTTTATTTTTGAAGGTATTTTCGTATTTTCTCATTTTACGTGCCGGACATCGTGGGGTGTGCCGGATATGTTTGAGAGTTGGTTGGGGCATTTTCTTGAGTTCAGAATTCTTGAAAATGCAATGATTGCCATTTCGGCATTTTTCTGTTTTTCGGGCCGAGAGGTCCCACGTGGGACCCACTACCGGAGTTGTTGCGTACATGATTTTATTTTGGGTCCATTTCATTTCTTGCATTATTATTTGATGCAATTATATGTGGTTACATGTCTATTAAAGGGTTGTATCATGTTTAATTTGGATATTTATGTTTTAAGGCAAAAGGTAAGATATTTGTATTATAGCATCTTATACATTGTTTTGATCCATTTTCCTGGACTGAAATCACAGCTCTCTCTCCCTCCTTCTGGAAACTTCAATTCCTCTTACTATAACACACTTTATGCCTTAATTTCATTATTTTACATTGAGAATTCAACTTTGCAAGTTGACAAGCTTGTTGAGGACATCATTTTGATCAGAGTTGATTTTAGTTTAGAGCACTCTTGAGAATTCGGATTTAGGGTTCTTGGGGCTAAATTTAGGGCTTTGCTTGGTTTAATATTCAATTTGAGGTAGGGATTTTCCTAATGCCCAAGTTTTGGTTCTATTTGAGTAAATTTTTCTTTCCCTTGATATATCTTTAGAATTATTAAATTTTGGTATGAAATTATGGTTATTAATGCCTGTAAGATGATGAATTATGACATTGTGTATATGATTATGTGTTAAGCATGCGCATGGATAATTTTGTATGTCTTACCTTGGATGATGATGTTCTTGTTGTATTAGGTTTCCAAAACTTGCTATGATTTTTCCTTAATTATTATAATATGCCATAATGATGTTGTTCTTGCTATAGTGATGGACTCATGATTTTGAGGATGAATGGTGTTGCATTGCATATCATGGTATAAAGAGGGGTTTTGGAAAGAATTTGAGAAAGGAAAATTCTCTTTTTGAAAGTGAAGTTTTTGATAATAGAAGAGAAGTTTTTTTTTAAGATGAACCGGATTTCGCGAGTCCGGGGCTAGCTTGACCTAGAGGGAGCGTAACCCGGTGTAGGGTGTGAATAAGTTGATACTAGACCCTTTAACGGTTGCCGGATTTGGAATCTGGGATAGCTATCAATCTCGCCTCGGTAAAGTAGGTTAGTGAGTTTTCAAAAAGTGGAGGTTGGGTCGGTATAGACCAAATTTGGAATGGGATGCATCATGATTTATATCATGCATGTTCATTACTAAATTGTGCTTTGTGACCGATATCTTTCTTGTTAAGTTGCTAATGTGACATGAACTCCCATTACATGATCCCGATTCCTTTTATTTGCTTATGTGTTTCGTGGCTCAAGGGAGTTCAAAACTAACGTCTTAGGCGAATTCTACTGAGCTTTATGCTCACCTCTTATTTTATTATTTTCTAGACACGGGAAAGAAGTGGCGGACGACAATCCACCATAAGTTTAAGAGGATTGAAAGTAACTTGGATCCCACTTGTGATTAATGTATTTACTTCTAATTTTGTTGTAAAAATGTATTAAGATGCATATTTTGCGAAGTTTGGTCTTAATATGTTTAGTTGTAATGCAATGTATTTACTTAAGGTGGAAATAGTTTTGAGACCCTTGGCACCATATTTTGAGGTTTCATTAGGATTTCTACCTTCTTTTAAGGGTTATAACTTTTCATGATGTAATTTGAGCTCATTTTGTTTATGATCATTGTAGCCGGACAAAGGTGATGAATGTATGACGGGACCAAAGTTTCTTTGCGTCGCCATGTTGTAGAATTCTTTGAGTTAGCTTGTTAAATTGTTTTTTTTCACCATTCGTGCATGTTGGGTTGAGAAGATTGAATGCCCAGCCATGAAAAGCATTAGAAGTGACCAATTTCAGACCTCCTAGGTTAGGAGCCGGCTCTCCCTCTTTGGGAGCCGGCTTTTTTTTTGTCCAGTACGCAATTTTTGGAAAATGCTACACATGGAACTGGCTCCATCAGAATCGGAGCCGACTCTCTCAGCAAAAAGAGGCGGCTCCATCAGAATGGGAGCCGGCTCCCTTGCTGCTTTGACCCTTTTTCTTAACCCGAACATCAAATGGTCATATCTCCCTCGTTTCAAATCCAAACGGGGTCATTCTTGTGGCAAATTTCAAGGATTTTGAATTAGCTTTCCAATGGTACTAATGCCATTTTCAGATTCCAAGAGATATTATGGGGTATTTGTGGGAAAGCACAACCAAAGTCCTTAGAACCTCATGGGATGTTACGAAATGGTTGATATGGATTCATTGGACCTTATTTGAGTCGAATTTCTCTCCTTACTTGTGAAATGACCAATTTACCCCCCATGACCCAGTTATTATTTTGGACCCCGAGCTTGGGTCGTTACACAAAGACCAAAGACTGAAATCATGGACACGTCTCTTTGGAGAGATAGCGAATAGTATTAAATGCGTCAATAGTCAAAATGGGCTAAATAGATGTATTTCAACAAAATTTCATATTGCACAGTTGAAGAGTGATCGAGATGATCCATACGGCCAAACCCGAAATTATTTTGCTTAAGCGTATTTTCGGTTGGGAATTAACTTAAAAAAAAAAAAAAAAAAAGAAGAAGAAGAAAGGGGAGAGAGAGAATTCGTGAAAAAATTAACAGAACAGTACGACAGCTAATTTAGTCTCTTAGTAAACAAACTCGCTGCCTTTTGTCTGCAGTTTCAATATTTTTACTCCAAAGTTTTCATTCAAGTGAAAAAGAACACTCATTTACAACAACCAAAATTCATTCATTCTACATAGGTACCAAATGTTGAGTCAGAACCTCCAATCAAAAAACACACTGAACAGACCCACAAGTTTAGTACTATAAGCATTACCTTCTTATTTCACAAAATGCATTTCTAATCTCGTGGAGTTCGTTGAGAACATCCCTAATATCCATCCTATCTCTTGGCAAGTCAGAAGAGCATGCAATTCCAATGCTCAGGATTGACACCAAACACTCTTCTATTTTCCCAGTGTTACGTTCATTGGTCATTTCAGAAGCAGCTTCATTTTCCAGTATCAGTAGGGAATCAACAATTTCCGTTACTCCACCTGGAAGTGCCATCTTAGCATAGTTGTTAAGGCTAAAGTTGTCGGTGAACATGCCACTAGTAGGCCTTTTTCCAGTAAACATCTCTAGTAAAAGAATTCCATAGCTGTACACAACACCTTCTTTTGAAACCTCCCCACCCATACCATATTCTGTAATTCCAAACAAGTGACATAGTTCTTCAATTAGTTAGTACTTCAGTATCTACGAATTCCTAACTTTCTATTCCCTGACACTGCCTAGAAGTGAAAAATATTACAAATAAATTTCGGCAACTTGGTTATGCAAAGCGAATTAATTAATTAAATATTTTCATCAACTTATCATCTGTTTCCTAGCTACTGGTTCAAAATTTAGTAAATTTTCTAATGAAATTATAATGAAAGTATATATCAAAAGAAATAAACATAATAAATTATCCAGTGCAACATAGCCAATTGTCCCTCGAACTCCAATTGATGAACTAGTTTGTGTATGATTAGATTTATCTTCGGTAGCCATAAGAAACCTTGCCAGACCGAAATCACCAACGTGGGCACAGAGCTCGTTGTCAAGAAGAATATTACTTGGCTTTAGATCACAATGAATGATTGTTGTTTCGCAGTGATGGTGAAGATAATTCAATGCATGGGCCACATCAATGGCAATGTTAAGCCTTTGGATTAGGTTCAAGCTCATTGAGTACAGTAGCGTAGATGAACTCAAGTCCTCTTTCTCATATAAAGTTGGGTGTAACCAGCTCTCTAAAGTCCCATTTGGCATGAACTCAAACACCAAAGCCTTGAAATCATTTCCATTAAAGTCGATGCTTGAGCAAGATGTGATGATCTTTACCAGATTGCGGTGGCGAATGTTCCTCAAAGCTTTGCATTCATCCAAGAAGCTCTTGTTGGCTCCAAGTAGTTGAAGGTTGAATTCCTTCACAGCAACAATTTGTTCACCATAGTTGAGAGTTCCTTTATAAACAGGACCATATCTACCCACACCAATCAAGTTGGCAGAAGAGAATCCGTTGGTAGCCTATTGAAGTTCTGCATAAGAGAGTGTTGGGTACTGATTTCCCTAGACACAATCTACAGAAGACTTTTCTTTTGACCTTGTGATCCGGTAAAGAACAACAGAAACACATGCTGTTAACAAAATCGTAGAAAGAGTGATACTTGTCAAAAGAATTATCACTTTAGGGGGGAAGAGCTTTCTTTCCCTTTGTGTGGGACATGCAGGCAATTGCAATGCCTTGATTCCTCCACAAAGTTTGTCATTTCCCACAATTGAAAACTTACTATCGTTCATGAACACTCCTTCATTTGGAACTTCACCCTCAAACTTATAAGAAAGGTCTAGAACTTCAATCAATCGAAACTTGCCTAGAAAGCTTGGAATCCGCCCAGACAAACTATTACGAGAACGATCTAGGCCTTGAATTCCTTTTATTTTCTGCAAAGATAATGGAATAGTACCTTCGAAAAGGTTGTCATCCATAAATAGGAGGTCTAACACTAGACAATCAGCAAGAGTGGTTGGGATTTCTCCAGAAAGTTTGTTCCCATAAATAGACAAAATCCCAAGTTCTTCAAGTTACCTACTTGTGAAGGTAGTGGTCCTGTCAGATAATTTTGATCCAAGAGGAGAACTGAGGGAAGAAAGTCCAATAACTTGCTCCGGTATCGCACCAGTGAGGTGATTCTGTTCAAGATAAAATGCTTGAAGATTTGTGCAATTTCCCAAAGACGGAGGTATGCTTCCCTCTAGCATATTTCTTCCTAATGAAAGAATGCTCAATCGAGACATGTAGCCAAGAGATGATGGAATTTTTCCTGAGATGTTATTTCCCGGAATGTAGAGTCGTTCCAACTCAGAAATTTTCCCAATAGATTCTGGAATACTGCCAGTGAGCATATTCAAAGATGAATATAATTCCTTTAAGTTGATGAGGTTCTCAATCCCTTGCGGTATGGTTCCAGATATGTAGTTACTACTTATCGACAGTTGGGTGCGATTGGTGGATAGATTTGCAATTGAATTGGGCAATACGCCCCCAAAATTGTTCCCAGCTAAATGTAGAACGCATAGATTTGTACAGTTGGTTAATGAATCAAGGAAGCTCAGCTGCTCAAGTCATTGGATTTTTTGGTTCCGAGTCCGTTAGTATTAATATTTCGCGTTTTTAGATCTCGAAGGCTGCCCAAATTCATTGGTACAGACCCATTAAAAAAATTAAAACCAATTTCAAACTGAACAAGTGCTGAAGCATTAACCAATGATGGTGGGATAGACCCAGAGAATTGGTTACCTCCAATTAAGAATCGTTGTAGTCTTGGAAAGGTCAATCCCAGGTCTTGGGATAGGCTTCCACTTAACTGGTTGTCAGCTACAACAAAGGAATAGATGGATGAGATATTGTAAAGTCGGGTAGGAACTATTCTGGACAAACCTTGTTGAGATTAAATCCAACGTTTAGATCCTTTAACCACGAACTAATCTGCAACTCTGATCAACAGGCAAAGGTGGAAACTGGTTTCTCTCTCTTGGCCTTTTGCACACATAAAACTTTTACGTGTTGTATCATTAATTGTACATAATTGATGGAGTATATGCACTTTTATAAAGGCAGAGAGAGGACCAGTCTTCCTTTTAGTAACATAATTCTACTTTCCATCAAAGTAAGGAATAAGAAAGGAAAACACTTCTCCAATAAGTAATTACCAAAAAGGTAATTATAAGTTGACCAAAAATAAATAATATTAATTGATATCTATTTACTTAGCCATCAAGTAATTTGTCACATGTCCAAATCATGTGGGCCACAATTAAATAAATAATCTTACATTCTCCCACTTGGCACATATGATAATTCATGTAGTGGTTCAGTAAAATAGTCATTAGTGTGCACCATAAATCATATTGAGGTATTAAGTTGGTCATCATAAATATCATGGTAAACAAACTACCAATATGAGTCATGGAGGTAGCATGTCCCTAAATGACACAGTCCCTTCCATGTACCACAACACTAGTAACCTATTCAATATAGTTTATAAATGAGAAGTATCAATAATGATCTAACAATAAAGTCTTTTCCAAGACTATTCCTATTATCACTTATTAAAGCAATACGTACATGTACATTAATTAATAGGAAATATCAGAAACACATTTAATGAGCGCAAAATGTCAAATATATATAAGCACTGTTAAGCAATCCACAATTAAAAAATAATCATCATTGACTACATTTAAGACCCATTCTTTTAACATGTTTCATAAATGTCTTGAGTAGTAATCCATTCGTTAATGGATTGCAATCATAAGTTGTGTGCTTATATATTTAATAGACATTCATTGTTTCTAAATATCTTCTTTAATGATAAAATATTTCAACTTTAGAATACCTATCATTTTTCATACAAAAAGATCAACAATTGCAACATAAATTTTCAGTAATCTGAAAATGGTACCATAACTCCAAATCCTGAAATAAATTTTACAATCATAAATTGTAGCCTCAAAGCATGCTACAAATTAAAATTTCATAATAGACAAAGTAATAAAAAATTACTTTGTATTATTTCATAATATTGTTCTTCCAACCAAAAGAAATGAATAACCAATTAAAAATGTCTTCCTAAGTGTAAACATATAATCTTTTATCACATACCAACTTGTATATACATCAAACTCCACAATATATGCATAAGAAATATATATATATATATATATTTTTCGTTTCTTTACCTTCTAGCTAACTCATTCTTTGGGATTGTATTAGGCTGAATTTATCCCCTTTTATGTATGGAACAGTACTGGTTTAATAATGTTCCATACCAAATCTTTCTAGAACTTTTTCAATATATGTTTTCTGAGACAATCCTAAAAATTCACGTGATCTATCATGAAATATTTCTATTCCTATCACGTAGGATGTCTCATCCACATATTTCATTTCAAAGTTCTTAAAAATAACTTTTAGTTTCATATAATAAACTAAAATCACTACTACCAAACAAAACATTATCAATATATATAGAATCAGAAATATAAACTTACTCCCATTAACCTTATAATATATACACTGATCAATAGTGTTTTACTTAAAACAAAAAGAAATAATGGTATCATTGAACTTAATATACCATTGTTAGGAAGCTTGTTTAAGTTCATATATTGGCATCTTAAGCTTACAAATCATGTATTATTTACTCTTTAATGTAAAGCCTTCAGGTTGTTCTATATAGACTTCCTCTTTCTAAACTCTCATTTAGAAAATCAATCAAAATCAAATTCTTGCATATATACCACATAGTCATCCGGAATAGCAGATATCCTTCTTGAGATCGTCTTAATGTTATTCCATGTGATTCTTTTACAATATATTCATTGATAACAATCTTATCATGGAGTTGTTGATCATTCAATTATTCTTCGTTGTTATACAGTTCAACAACTGAAGGAACAATTATTTCTTTAGAAGTTATAGGTAAAGAAATATGTATCATAACTTCTTAAATGATCACATTCTTATTTTTATCACTCCCACTGACTTCATCATTCTTAATGAATTTGACATTTCCGATTTCAATAATTATCGTACTATGTTTAGGATAGTAAAACTTGTATCATTTAGATTACTTAACATTCACAACATTATGAGTAACGAGGAATTACTTAACACACTTCTAACCAATTCCATAAGAGTACGATTACGCCTTACAGCTACATGCTTCTACTGTGGCATGTATAACAAAGTGTATTGAGCACAAATGCCATACATTTCAAGGAGTTTAATAACCGGTTAGAGTATTAACCCGTTTCATCATATTTTTCATAATATTTACCACCTCTATATGACCTTATGATTTTCACTTTTTCATCTATTTATTTTTCAACCTCATTTATGTATACTTCAAGAGTACCCACTGCTTGAGATTTTTCATACAACAAATAGATATATACCTCCAAAAGATGGAACATCAAAAGGTTTACAAATGTCTGTAAGAATAATTTCAAGAAGCTATATACTTATTGTGACTTATTTCTTTGTGTGTTTAGTTTGTTTACCCTTAATACAATCTACACACATCAAAATCAGTAAAGTTTAGATTCAGAAGAATCACATCCTTTACTAATTTTCCTAACCTTTCACTAGATATTGACCTAGTCTTTTATGCCACAAGAAAGATAAATTTTCTATTAATTGAGTTACGCTTAATTCTAACATTATGATGTAAGATCAAAAGGTTTTTAATAAATAAACTATCAAATTTGAATTTACAGAAATCATCAACAATAATACCATAACTCACAAATTAAAATTTCTTGAATAAACATCATTATCAAATTTAAATAAAAAATCATTAACATAAAGTTTTGAAATAAAATCAAATTATAGGAAATTGAATAAATATAAAAAAGTTTAAAATAATTTAAATAAAATCCATTATCTAACATTAAATATAATGTTATAATGGTTTCAACAAAACTTTTTCCCAATTATTATAAATAAGAAATTCTTATTTGAATTTGTGGTTTAGGCCATAAAAAAATTCTTGCATCTATTAGAAACATAAACATTAGTACTTAAGTCAACCTATCATGTATTAGAAATAATTTTAATAAGTAATTCGAAATACACAAAAGGCAAAAACTTACCATTCTTTTTCGAATCATTCTTTATATTTCATGTAAACTTTCTAAAAGTGTTCAATACATTAATGACACTTTTTCATTATTACATTCCTTTCTTTTAGTAGATTGACCTAAATCTTTAATTTTGGATGTTGCTCACTTAATGCCTTTTCAGGCTTATTTCCAAAAATTTATTTATAACTTCTTGAGTCATCAGATGAACATAATGATTACCTTGCTACTTAAGTCTTGTCTACTCCTAAATTAACATAATGGTCAATTAAATCACTTTTCACTTGTCTTAATAGTGTTAATTCTCTAAATGACCCATACTGAATAGGCAAGAAATTGAGAATAAATTGAATAAAAAAATTCCCATTCATAATCATACATAAGGTTCTCAATTTTGCAGCAACATTAGTCATCTAAAAAAAACATACTCATACATGGTAAGAGTACCAATAAAATTGCATAGTAATGATATAAATTAATAATTTTCGTTTTAGATATTTATCTATAATACGAAAATATTCTTCTAGTCAAAATATTCCTCAACACTATCGCTATGGGAAACATTATTCACATAACTATAATACTTAATCTGTTCGATCTCTCCCAAACTTTATGGAGAATCTTTTATCCCTCACTGTCTTTATCAGTAATAACAGTAGGTTTCTCAATTTAAAATGCTAAATCAAGATTTAACACATCTAAATTTTGAACTCAACTTACTCATTCCATTATGAGAAGTTAGTCCTATTGAGAATCAAAACAGATGTAGCATGCGCATTAAAAGATATAATAAAACAAACATAATAAGATAAAATGCTCACAACAATAATGCTTTGAGTTAACAACACGTATATATAACTTTAAAATATAAATACAATGTATAACTATAGTACCCCTTTGGGTGGCAACTATAAAATACTAATAATGATACTTATTTGTATTTATATGTATACCTTCATTGGTGATGTATTATTTAATTAAACAGATAAGTTACCTTTGGATATCCTATATCTACCTAATTAAAAAAATATATGCAATCCCTTAACTTTCATTTAATTACTTGAAAATCAATTCCCTTTGGAGAATTATTTCTCATAATTAAATAAACTCAATATTCATGAATATCACATAAAATAATAAGCATCATAATTCATGAAATATTGCAATTATGTTTACTACTAAAATTAGTATTCATCAACCATTATGGTTAGGCCACTTTGGTAGCTACTAACCTTTACATAATATGAATATTAAATTAGATAGTAACTAATTTATGATTAATTATGTCTAGTACAAAAATTAATATTCATCAATCATTATGATTGGGCCACTTTGGTAACTACCAATCTTCACATAATATTAATATTAAATTAGACAGAGATTAATTCATCATTAAGTTATATTTACTACTAAAATTAATATTCATTGACCATTATGGTTAGGTCACTTTGGTAACTACTAACCCTCACATAATATGAATATTAAATTAGCTACTAACTAATTAATCATTAATTTACCCATTTAACATTATACACACATACTCATAATTATCGATTGAAGTTTAAGCAAATTCGATCTCAAAAACTTAATAGTCCGAAATTTCATAGAAAATATATTTTTATTTTATATACAAAATAAAACATATTATTTTATTTTTCGGACTTAAAGATCATAATTGAATCAATCTAAAATCGACTCTCCATCATGTATGTATGTTAGGGTATAAAACAACAAGTTATTTGCATGTCTAATAATATTAGATTAAATTTCTAAACTCACAAATTATTCTAGAAATTCAAATTCCTAAAATAAATAAATCACGTACATTATGTATTTAATAATCTATTTAAAATACTCATGTACAGTGACATGTTTCTCATTCATCAATTATCACTGTATATATAAAACAAATATATATATATATATTTATATCCACCACACAAGTAGGTCTAGAAAATTTTTGGGTGTAAAATATACATACTAGTGAAGTGATGTTTCAAGAAACATCTATTTAATCATGCAAACCAATAAAGTTATATATACATATGCTTACATGTATATAGTAACTTTCAAGTCAAATATACAAGGGCAGAAATTAAGGTAGCAAACCAAAATAAATTATTTGGTAAGCAAACTGATCAAAAACATACTCTGGAGACTAATTGGACATTATACAATCATAGCCACGATTTCAATCAAAACATATCAACGATTTCAAAATAATGAATTATATAATATATCATTTAATTTTTTATTTTTATTTATGCAACTTTAGAGGAAAATCATGAGTTCCTAAACCATAAACTCTGATACCACATATAAACTATAATTATTCGTGCAAATCATTAATCACAATATTTACATGAATCCTATGATCTTAGAACTTCATGATTTTCACATATCTATAATGTATAAATAAATGGTTAGATATAAATACCTTGATTCATGATATCAAACCTTGTTGAAATTAAATCCAACGTCTAGATCCTTTAACCACGAACTAATCTGCAACTCTGATCAACAGGCAAAAGTGGAAACTGGTTTCTCTCTCTTGGCCTTTTGCACACATAAAACTTTTACGTGTTGTATCATTAATTGTACATAATTGATGGAGTATATGCACTTTTATAAAGGCAGAGAGAGGACCAGTCTTCCTTTTAGTAACATAATTCTATTTTCCATCAAAGTAAGGAATAAGAAAGGAAAAAACTTCTCCAATAAGTAATTACCAAAAAGGTAATTATAAGTTGACCAAAAATAAATAATATTAATTGATATCTATTTACTTAGCCACCAAGTAATTTGTCACATGTCCAAATCATGTGGGCCACAATTAAATAAATAATCTTACAGTAGTGCCGCGGAAGCTGTTGTTCTCGAGATGGATCATCCTAAGGAAGGTAAGGTTTCCTATATGAGGCGACAAGGAACCAACTACTTCCAAGGATGACAAGTTTAGGATGGTCACCCTCTGATGCCGACGACCACATGTGACTACTTTCCAATTACAAAAGTGGATAAAATCATTCCATGAGCTAAAGACCTGGAAAGGGTCTTCAACAATTTGATCCTTGATGGCTAGAAAGGCTTGCTTGTCTGTCTCATTTGTGAAGCCAAAAGTGGTTGTCGAGGAAAGTAAAATGAAGCTTACATGAAAAAGGATGTAAAAGAGGAGGGAAAATGAATTTAATAGCCTTGAAACCATATCTTTGTGCTTCTGAAAGCTGACAGGGTGAGTGTAAACACACTATTCTGAAATAAAAGCACAAGCCAATATCTTATCTTGTGGTGCATTAGGAACCTATGTGAACAGAAATAATGGCTTAGTGCAGTTGTAGTTTAATTGCTGAAGGAAAATGAAGGTGGAAGGTGATGAGGTTTATGTGCAAATCATGGACAAATTTATATGAATAAAAGCAGTGTTAATTAATTGTAGAAGATTCAAATAATTAATGAAGTCAAGAAAACACTTTATTTGCTTTTCATGCCGTCCATTGCCATCGATTCTGTATGTTTATTCCACATGGAGGCCGTGTAATGATTCGTGAATCATTTGCTTCATTGTTTAATTTGCAGTGTTAGGTCAACAACAGCTCCGAGCAAAAGAAAACATAGCAATAACATATACAAATTAATTAAACCCGGGGAAGCAATTATAAATACACTTCTAATTTTATCTTATTCTATTAATAGGAAGAAATCCATTTTTGCCTATGCATGGAAAGGCATGGATGTTGTTTTCTTCTTGTTCATATAACAAATGCAACAAGGACTGCATTTTTCCAGGGAATATATATATATATATATATATATATATATATATATATATATATATATATTATAAACTATAAAGGAAAGAAAAATAGAAAAACATTTTTCTCTGCATTAGCACACCAATTCACGAGTTTACATAGGTTCTCTTTATAGGAGAGAATACACGTACATACCTAGCAGGCTTAATTAATAATTTCCTATTTTACAGCATTTGGCCAATATTCTATTTACAGAAAATATTCTCCAAATATTATATTTACAGCTAATAATATATGGTAGTATTACTACCAAATCTTTCTTTTTCAACACTCCCCCTCAAGCTGGTTTGAAGATATCCTCTATAGCTAGCTTGCCAATTAGTCGGTCGAACTGTCTTGTAGGAAGTCTCTTTGTAAGCACATCTGCAACTTGATCGATAGTAGGAATGTATGGTATACAGATTAATCCATTTTCGAGTTTTTCCTTGATGAAGTGTTTGTCTACCTCCATGTGCTTTGTTCTGTTATGAAGCATTGGATTATGAGCAATCGAAATAGCAGCTTTATTGTCACAGTACAATTTCATAGGCAATGGATTAGAGACCTTTAATTCATCCAATAGTCTCTTAATCCATAACACCTCACAAATTCCATAAGCAACTGATCTAAAATCGGCCTCTGCGCTGCTTCTCACTACTACATTCTGTTTTTTACTCCGCCAGGTGACAAGGTTACCTCTAACAAAGGTGCAGTAGCCAGAAGTTGACCGTCTATCAATAGCACACCCAGCCCAATCTGCATTAGTATAGGCTTCAACCTGCAAATGCCCATGGTTTTTTAACAATAGACCTCTTCCAGGGGTCCCCTTTAGGTATCTAAGAATTCTGTAGACTGCATTAAAGTGTTCTCGTCCAGGTGAATGCACGAACTGGCTAACCATGCTGACTGCAAAAGCTATATCTGGACGTGTATGTGACAAGTAGATCAGTCTTCCAACAAGTCTTTGATACTGCTCTCTATTCAGAATTTCTTCATCTTTAGAATGCTGCAGCTTAAGGTTGGGCTCAATGGGTGTCTCGGCTAGTTTACATCCTAGCGGACCTGTCTCACTAAGTAAATCAAGAACATATTTACGTTAATTCATAAATATACCTTCTTTGGATCTAGCAAACTCCATTCCAAGAAAGTATTCCCAAATCCTTGATCTCAAAGTCAGCTGCAAGTTTCTTTTTCAGTCTCTCCAATTCTTCATTGTCATTACCTGTCAAGACTATATCATCCACATAGATAATTAACATTGCAACCTTACCTTCTCTACTGTGTTTGTAGAACATGGTATGGTCAGCTTGGTTCTTACAGTAGCCATAATTCTTCACAGTTCTCCCAAATCTCTCAAACCAAGCTCTAGGGGACTGTTTGAGACCATATAAAGATTTCTTCAGTCTACAGACTTTATTAGGTCCCAATTTTCCCTCAAACCCAGGTGGTAGATTCATAAAGACCTCCTCCTCAAGATCTCCATTTAAAAAGGCATTTTTTACATCTAACTGGTATAATGGCCAGCTAAAATTCACAGCCAAAGATAACAAAATTTTGATTGAGTTTATCTTGGCTACAGGAGCAAAAGTTTCTTGATAATCAATTCCATAGGTCTGGGTGAACCCTTTTGCTACTAGTCTTGCCTTGTACCTCTCTATGCTACCATCAGCTTTACATTTCACCGTAGAGAACCACTTGCAGCCTACTGTTCTTTTCTCCTTAGGTAAATCAACTATCTCCCAAGTACCACTTCTTCTAAGAGCATTCATCTCTTCTATCACTGCTAACTTCTAATTCGGATCATCAAGAGCTTCCTGAATGTTTCTCGGGACAAACAAATGTGAGATTTTTTAGGCAAAAGCCCTATGAGTATGAGAGAGTTTTTTATAAGAAAGGTATTTGGCAATGGGATATTTTGGATTTGAATATTTGATTCGAATACCTTTTGTAAAAGCTATAGGAATATCAAGGTCTGATGGTTCTTGAGTAGGAGAAGCAATAGGAACTGAAGATGAGTTAGGATCAGAATTACCTATGATATCTAGAAGTCCAGTTCCCGGAGATTGAGATTGATCAATTCCAAGAGGAATAGGCTGACTTTGACTTTTTTGATGAAGTATTCTCCGAGTATAAACCAGAGGCTCAGTATTGGGAACTTTTATGCCCGGTTGTAGTGATTCTTCCCCTGTTTCAGATACAATAATGTTTGGCACTATATAACTAAGATTCTCTTCATTGTTTTCATTGGTTTTATCACATTGTTCCTGACTTTGAATTTTGGGAATAACAGTAAGATAAGGTGAAGGAGTCAAAATCACATTTGGTAAAGGAGTAGGAGATAAATCCAAAAAATTTTCTTCCATCACCTCATTCTCCCCCTGAAGAGAACTTTTGGGAAAGTAGGATTTATTTTCAAAGAAAGAGACATCCATACTTACATAAAATTTTCTTGTTTGGGGATTATAGCACTTATATCCCTTTTGATTAGAAGTATACCCTATGAAAACATATTTTTTAGCTCGAGGATCAAGTTTGGACTTAGTATTATTGAGTATATGAACAAAAACTATGCAGCCAAAAACCTTTAGAGGTAAATCCGAGTATATCCTTGATAATGGAAAAGTTCTTTTGAAACATTCTAATGGCGTGCTATATTTTAAAACACGTGAAGGCATTCTATTAATCAAATATGAAGCTGTTAAAACAGCTTCCCCCCAAAGATATTTTGGAACATTCATTGAAAACATCATAGCACGAGCCACTTCAAGTAAATGTTTATTTTTTCTTTCAGCAATTCCATTTTGTTGAAGGGTATCCACACACGTAGACCGATGATGAATACCTTTTTCTTTTAAAAAACTCCCTAAAATTTCATTAAAATACTCGGTTCCATTATCGGTGTGAAAAATGTTAATTTTTGTTTGAAACTGAGTTTCAACCATTGTGTAAAAATCCTTAAAAAATTTTCCAACCTCAGACTTTTCGTTCATCAAATAAACCCAACATAAACAGGTATGATCATCTATAAAAGTAACAAACCATTTTTTCCAAGAGATAGTAGTGACTCTTGAAGGTCCCCAAACATCATTATGTATTAAATAAAATGGTCTTGAAGAAGTATAAGGTTTTGGCAAATAAGTAGTACGATGACTCTTAGATAAGCAACAACTTTCACAATAGAACGATGAACAATCCAAACCTTTAAATAAAGTAGGAAACAAATGTTTAAGATATGGAAAGCTAGGATGTCCTAGTCTTAAATGCCAAAACATTATTTGTTCATAAACAGAGTAAGAACTAACACTACTAAGGCCCTGAGCCTTTTTATTACTGGAGAAGTCCCCATCAAAGTAGTAAAGTCCATCTATTATCTTAGCACTGCCAATCTTCTTCCTCGAGCTCCGATCCTGAAATTCACAGTAAGAATCACAGAAAATTACACGACAATTAGATTCTTTGGTTAGTTTACTCACAGACAAAAGGTTATAGGCTAGTTTAGGGATATGGAGAACACTTTGAAGATTTATATTTTCGGATAATTTTATCAAACCTTTTCCTGCAATAGGTGAGAAACTACCATCTGCAATTCTAATTTTTTCAAGACCAAAACATGGTGAGTAAGTGCTAAAAAGATTGGAAAGGCTGGTCATATGATCAGAGGCTCCAGAATCGATGATCCATGGAGTATAATTTAAACAACAAGAAAGGGCATTAAGTGCACTACCTATTTGTGCAAGAGAAACATTAGGAATACCAGATGAGGAATTTAATTTCAGCAGCTTCAGAAGGTGATTCATCTGCTCCTTGCTTAAGGGACCTGTCTCAGCTTCATTGGCAGTAGGAACCGCACGCCTATTTCTGTCACCAGGCTTGCTACTTTTCCAATTCGCTGGTTTATCGTGGATTTTCCAGCAGTTCTCTTGAGTATGGCGTGGTTTGTTGCAGAAGTCGCACCAAACCCGTGGCTTTTCTTCAGGTTTTCGTTGAAAATTGACTGCTTTATTAGCAGCAATCTCGGCAACAATAAGGGCAGAACTTTCAACAGGTCCGCTGGTAGTCTTCTTCCCCAACATTACATGTCTGCGGCTCTCTTCTCTTCGAACCTCAACAAACACTTCACCAATTGGAGGAAGTGGAGTCCTGCCAATGATCCATCCTCATACTTCATCAAATTCCACGTTGAGCCCAGCAAGAAATTTGTAAATACGATGAGCCTCCACGGTTCGTTTGTAGTGATTGGCATCTTCAGTGGATTTCCATTCATAATCATTGAATAGATCCATGTCCTGCCAAATGCGCTTTAATGAATTGAAATACTTGGTGATCGAGTCTTCTCCCTACCGAATCTCACCAAGTTTTAGAGTCAATTCGTAGATCTGAGACTGATTTCCCAAATCAAAGTACATCTGATTCACGTTGTCCCAGAGCTCTTTAGCCGTGGAATAGCACATATAGTTGGAGCTAATATCCTCGTCCATGGAGTTCACAAGCCAAGTCATCACCATTGAATTTTCTGCATCCCAGGTCACGTACGTTGGGTCCTCCGATGCTGGTGCCTTCTTGTCTCCCATCAGGTACCCGATCTTTCCACGCCCTCTGATGTACATCCGAACGGACTAGGACCACCGTAAATAATTGTCGCCATTAAGGCGAATATTGGTGATCTGAATCAAGTGAGAATCGGTACTGGGGGCTTGGGTTGTCGGATTTGTTGACTGGGTTGTGATAGGCGAGGATGACATGGAGGAATCGTCAGATATGGCTGATCAGTGAAGAAATTGTGCAGAAAATAAAATTAGGGTTTTTTTTTTTCCTTAGGGTGGCTCTGATACCATATAAACTATAAAGGAAAGAAAAATAGAAAAACCTTTTTCTCTGTATTAGCACACCAATTCACAAGTTTACACAGGTTCTCTTTATAAGGGAGAATACACGTACATACCTAGCTGGCCTAATTAATAATTTCCTATTTTACAACATTTGACCAATATTCTATTTACAGAAAATATTCTCCAAATATTATATTTACAGCTAATAATATATGGTAGTATTACTACCAAATCTTTCCTTTTCAACATATATATATATATATATATATATATATATATATATATATATATATATATATCAAAAGAAGGGAGTTAAGAAATTGGTGAATGTGTTTCAAAAGTCTGTCCACTGAGGTTGACTTCCTGCCATGGTTAAAATGTTGATTTTGGGCCGGTGGAAGATTCTTGGGTTGGGGTGAGCTGAAGACATTTGTCTCCTTCCAATCTGTCCATTATCCAGTTTATAAATAAGGGTAAATTACACTCTTCCCTGATATTTCGTTATTATACATTGACCTCCCCTCTTGTTTGTCAAATAACATTGATCTCCCTCGAAGTTTATACACTGATAACACGGACCTCCCCTGCCATTGATAACACGGACCTCCCCTGCCACTAAACAACTAACGGTTTATACTTATGTCTGTTAGAAAAAAATCAATACAAAGACACTTTTACCCTTCTAATACATGAAATGACATTTTTAACCTCAATAATTACTGCAAATTTACAATACTATCATTGACTTATAAACTCAAAAGGACACAATGGTTCGCTCATATCAACAAACCCTGAATACCCAATGGGTCTAAAACTGTTGCCACGAAATTTACCAGTGAGACCAATGGAAACTACCCCCACATTAACCTTTCTTCCTCCTCTTCCTCCCATCAACCAATTCACCCCTCAACTCCACCCATCAATCTCATCCATATATAATTACACACACATATATATCTATCTATGTATATATAGACACACACAGCAATCTCATCCATACATATATATATATATATATATATATATATATATATATATATACACACACACACACACATATACACACACACACATATATATCTATCTATATATATATACACATGATGACTGCGAAGGGCAAACCGGGTACGTGAGCTTGGATGCCCTTTAGTCTCTTATTTGCTGCTTTAGCATCCACATTGATCTCAACCAACAAAGAATGAAACCAGAGATGGAATTGGAAACAAGAGAAAGAGAGATGAGATTTCCAGTATACCAATTTGAATTCTATGCAATTCTCAGCACTCATTTCCTCAAATCTCACATGGGTCTTATTCTTCTTCATCAATTCTTTTTCACTCTCACAGTCCGATCCTCGAATCTCTGAGGCCAACCTCTTCTGTGGCAACTCCACCACCACCAAAGACCAACTACGTCCCAATCTTTGTCAAAGAAATGGAAATTCTCTCACAACTCGTCACCACCCATCACTGGGGTCACAACCTAGTGAACTCAACACCACCTATCTACGACCTAGCCCAATGTTTCCAAGACCTTTCTCACACTGATTGCCTCCTTTGCTATCCGGATCGTGCAAGCTCAAGAGAGAGGGCTTGTCGGTAGTGGCAAGGCCGTGGGAAAGGAGAAGGAAAAAAAAAAATATCTTAAAAAGGGTACTATTGGTAATTTACATCCATGATATTTTATATTTTTTATAATAAATTAATAAGGGTAAATTATTAATTTTACTCTTTCATTAATAGGATAGGAGAGGTCAGTGTAATTTGACAAACAAAAGAGGAGGTCTGTGTAAGTTGACGAAACCTCAGAGAAAGTCAGTATAATTTACCCTATAAACAAAGTAAATTGAATAGGAAGAGGTGTTGTCTAATAAAAGCGTCAGGTCTAAAATACCCCCACCCTATTAGTCTAAGGTCCTGTGACGGCCCTGATTTTTAGGCCAGTTCGTCTTATGATAAACCAAACGTAGATCCGATAATAAATCCAGAATGCAGAGGCAAAGGGTAAAACAATGGTCTCTAGAGGTACTACACGTTTGTAAGACACCAACGTGACCTTCAATGAGGTCACGAAGCCCAAAAAAAACAATTACGGAAACGACGTCTCAAAAACGGATAAGAATGATTTTAGGGGCAAAATGGTCTTCTTAAATTCAAATGGGTGTCACTGTGCACACCATTGGAAAGACAACAAAAAATGAACTAAAATGGACTCAAGAATCGCTTGATTTGGAGTCCGGATGGAAAAAATATAAAATTAAAACGAAGTGGCATTCTCCGATTAGGAGATACCAAGACCCTATCTTACTAAACAGCGATAACTCTCACTACAGTTGGAGTTTTGGTGTGTGGTTAGTACCATTGGAAAGCTAACTTCAAGCTCTTTAATTTAGACTCAAGAACGACCTGAATTGGATTTAAAACGAGTGAGATACATCCCTTTGAAGTTGGTGTAACAAAACTGTCCAAGAAAATTGAAAGGTGCAGGCTCCAGGGAGGATCAGCCGACCGATGGCAAGGGTCAGCCGGCCGAAACCCCATCGTCAGCCGGCCGAACCTCAATCGTCAACCGGCTAACACATGCTCGAGATCCATTTCAGTAGCCTTTTTTTGTTGATTCCCTACTATCCATTGCCACAGGAAGAGTCAGCACGCATTCAAATTGAAAATAATAAATAAAAAAATGCCTTAAGCCATGTTTGGGAGTACATAATTAGTTGTTTAAAACTGAAATTTAAAAAAACATAGAGTACAAAGTCAGGTCTGAGTACCGTTTCATGGTAAGAGTTTATCTAACAATTGAATTTCGATGCAAACTTGTGGCTCCATAAAACCCGTAGAAAATTCCTCTAATTACAAAAAAGAAACGAATTTTTTTTAGTTGCGGTGAAGAAATACATAAACATATATATATATTAGCATATATACATATACACAGAATTGAACATGTAAGATTGGGACTTGGCAAAAGAATCACTCACAAGATTACAATTTTTCCGTCTGAGCACTTCACTCCGAACCGAGAACATGGATAAATATAAACATAGAGTCAGATCCTGATGAAACGTAAATAACATGGCCAACATCATTGCTATTGAACCGACTGAATCTCCATCTCTCACTCATTTCAAATTGAAGAAACCCAATTTTTTTTAATACAAAATCAAACTTGCTTCAATCAGTAAATATGGATGAGAGAACAAAACGCATGAATTGGTGATTTATTGAATTAAATATATCCGAACCCTTGCTAGTAAATATGCAAGTATTATAAGGAAAATGATTTATGTTTTTAAATCATTTTATTTATAAGAAAAATTATTTTAAAACCCTTTTCCCAAATTAGTTTGTCCTATTTGTCAAATTGAATTAATTAAGGGTGCTTTGTTGTCCGAATAAAAAATTTAACCATTGATGTATACTCATTTACTATTTTTCAATTTGGATCCAACTCCCCTTGTAACATTTTTCTCTATCTGAATTTGCGTACCCAAGTGTGCACACCGGAACACTTCGAGGTCGGGGGCTTGACGTGACACCGGATTAAGGATTAAGTCCGATTCTAATATCAGTTATAATAGGTTAGGTGCTTCACGATTCGGTCCAAAAACTTGGACTATTAAGTAGTAGTAATACTCAACCCATATCTATTGATTTACTTTCCTCGGGTATAGGACAAGACTCCCTTGTAACACATTGTCCTTAATCAATTGAAATAGCCGTTTATGTTTTTTGAAGTTTGGTTTTGGAGTCTCAATTGTCCAACAAAGTTGCTACAAGCTCACATCCTCTAAGTAATGCTATAGTCAGTCTTTCATAACTGCATATGACATGATATTATCCATATTATAACATTTTAAGATATGATATATCATCTCACTTTTAAAATTATTAAATTGTATTTTTAAGTTTAAATATGTATTTTACTAAGTTTAGAAGCTTTTAAAATTTTAAAGGGTAATTATGAAAATATATTACTCCCTCCATCTCAAAAATAAATTATCTTTTTTTGAAAATTTAACTTTTTAAGAAGATGAATTTTAATATGAGTATTTTTTTATTATATTGATAGTGAATAAATTATCAAATCTATTCATAGTGAATTTACAGAATGTGATGGTAAAGTTTCAATACAAGAAAGTTAAATTGGTAATGTTACAAATTAATACTTGAAAATTTCAATGGGACAGCCAAATACTTTTAGCTTTGACTGGTTGATTTCTCAAATGAAACCCACTAATTTGGAACATCTCAAATGGAAAAGAGGTTTGGGCCAAAAAAAATAAAAATAAAAAAAATAAAAAAATAAAAAGGAAAGAGGAGAGGTCAAAAACAATGAACGGAATTATTACCAATTAATACTTACAAATGACCTATTAGTAAAATGCTTGTCTATATTTTTTTTAGGTTTTAATATTTTTTTCTTAATAAATATTTTATAATAAAATGACCTATTAATAAATATTTTTTTTTCTTAATAAATATTATATATATATATATATATCTAAAATATTTTTTACATCCAAACACCAAGGTTATCATTTCCCACAATTGAAATAATGACTTGGTGCAGTTTTAGTGATAAACCATAAAGGAAAATGAAGGGGAAAAGGTGATGAGTTTGTAGGTGCAAATCATGGCCAAATTTATAAACCAACAACCCTCCATTGCAGAAAATTCACATAATGAAGTCAAGAAAACACTTTATTTGCTTTCATGCTGTCCATTTCCATTGACTCTGTATGTTCAATCCACATGTAGGCTTTCTGATGATTCGTG